CACTTTTTTTTCATAAAATCACATTCGTAGTTAATAGTAAATGTATCAAATTAAAAAATTCAGTCCACTACACTACACTTTATAAATTTATATATTTACATACTTAAAACTAACAATTTGCGTACATATTCTGTTTGATCTCAAGAAGTTTTTTCTTGAGTTCTAACTTCGCTTTCCTATCTCTTCTCTTACTTTCCATTTCCTGCTTATAAATAGCGAATTTATCTTTTTTTATATAGTAAGTTTTTTTGTGTATACTTCAATATTTGAAAGGCTTTGTTTCATCTCTTTTAGTGTGGCCAAAGTTTCCTTTTGAAATTCAGCCTGCTGATCCGTCTGCCGCTCAAGGAGTGCAATTTGTTTTTCTTCTCTCCTTTTAGGGTTAGAGCTGCTATTTCGGCCATGCTCTCGCGAAGGTATCACATTTCGCGAAGGCCCTGGGATATCGTGGTCTGAATATATTTCCACTTCCGTAACGGACTCATTATCGTCATTATTTTCTATTCCAAATTCTTCGCCTGGCGGATTGTTGTAAGTGGTGTAGCTCATTAGCCTGTTCACCGTCTCTTCCAGATTTGAGAGTGGAACTGTGTTATTTGGCCCACCTCCAGTTGCTAAATTCTCTGCGTGGTTGTGAGCGCTGTTTTTCTTTGTTTTATATTTTAAATCGTTCCAAACCTACAGTAATAAAATATTTTAGTCTTTTAGTTCCAAATATACGCACTACTAATATGCTTACTCGTTGCCATGCATCTGATGATCGTGTTGGTGGTCCTAATGAGTTCAGCTCCTGAGTAATTTTTTCCCAACGTGGTTTCGCGACAGCTTTATGACATATTCCTCCTGCGAGGTCGGTATTCTCCTCCATTAGCGAAGCAAGACGCTCTAGTTGATGCTTTGTACTCACAACTCTCGGCCTAAAGAAATTTTTGAGTTGGGTTTATAACTAGTTCATAATTTATTTTTGCTCATTTTAATACTTACATTATTCCAATTTCTCAAGATAATTAACAAATTTTAATTTGGTATACTAGCACAGCAATCTATCGTTTAAAAATGGCGAACCGCTTGCAAGCGTCTGAAATCGAACGGCTGAGACGATAGTTATCGTTTTTGGCAATATCATATTTTTACGATATACGATAAACGCTAACTATCGGATTTCATACGATAGACTTAAATTCGTAATACGGGATAACAGAATGCAAGCGTTTATCGTGTATCGTATGAATTCATAATAGGGGGGGAATGTTATCTTATGACATGTTAAGTTATGTTACAATTTTATAAGGCTCCTATTTATCCCAATTTTCAGGTAATAATAAAAAAGATTCAATTTAAATGTTACTTGTTGTCGTAGTCACTTTTTCAAATTTATGGCTTTCTATTATAAAACCACATAACGCTGTTTGCAAGTGGACTATTCATTTCGTACTAATAATAAACATTACTTTAGTTTAAACATTTTATGTGTAATTTTGCTCTTGCGACAAATTTGGTATGTAAGAGTAAACAGGCAATGATTAATTTTATTACACGGCGTGCGAATTTGCACACATTAAAAGAGGAAACTGGTTACCTCTCTTAATAGGCGCAAATAAATAAAATTTTTTAGAGTGTATTTAAAGTATTTTCAGTAAAATTCATAAAAGTCTCCTTAAATAAATCAAATTTAGTTTTTTGAACTGCATTGAAATCTTCTTTCCTTTTAAATTAACAAATGAAAATATGTGATATGAAAGATATTACTACAGAAAGAGTATAATTTACTTTATATATGTATATCGTCGTTTAAAGTACAAAACCGCGTATCGTCATTCTGCAAAACCGCGTAACTGACATTTGCTGCCAAAAATTGGATTTGCTCACACAAGCTCTGGGCTCAATCCTTATCCATTCGTTCTGAAATATACTAGCCAGAAATGCGATTGCTTTATAAACCAGATAACCATTTTGAAATATGAGTGGTCACAGAGCGCTCAGTAAGCTATGGCATGTCGATCACTGCGCTAGGTAGAGAAAGAAGTGTGTGCTATGACATGCCCACACTGGTTTGTCTCAGTATCAGTTTTGCCATCGCCATGAGTTGTTTCGGTGTGCGCATAGTTATATAAAAATATAAAGTTTGATGCCAACCGGGGTTTCTCAGTGGATATATAATTCATGTGAATTATAATTTGAAAGTATCTATTTAGCCAAGCAAAAAGCAAAGCAGTATACTTAAACCAGCACTTCCAGCAGATATTGACCTGGGTTTTCGCACGACTATTCCTGTTTCATTGTTTCTTTTTAGGAAATTCTTACCACCATATACATATGTATTACTTACACTAGTAACTATTTATGTGAATATGTGCATATGTATTTTTTATGCTTAATATATGCAAATAAAAGAAGAAAGTAAACACAACTACCATAGAGTAAATTTTTATTTGTGTCAAACTGAAACTTTTTTCCCAATAATAAACGGTTAGCTGATTCACGTCTACAGCAAGTTCACAAAATTAATTGAAAATTTGTATCAACCAAAGCATTGTTTATATTTGCTCAACAATGATTTTATTCAACTAACAATACTAATAATAATACTAAGACTACTCAAGGTAGTCGTTTTTTAATTATTAACAAATATACATTTGTCCCAACTAGAAGTCTCAAGTAAATTGCAGACTTTCGTGAACTAGATATTTATTTCGCCATATCCAACTATGCCACTTGGTCACTATAACCAAATCTTGGTAATTATAACTAAACCTTTTTATACCTTTCATGAGCATGAAATGGTATTATAACTTTGGTCCGATGTTTGTAAGTACCAGAACAAAAAGAGATAGACCCATTAAAATGTATACTTATATGATCAGAACGTCGAGCTGAGTTGATTTAACCATGTCTGTCTGTCCGTCTGTCCGTCTGTCTGTCTGTTTGTATGCAATCTAGTCTCTCAGTTTTCAAGATATCCGTATCAAATTTGGTATGTGGGTGTATTTTTGTAATGTATTAATCATTTGTCGGAACCGGAAGAATCGGACCACTATAACATATAGCTCCCATACAACTGATTGTTCAGATATGAGATTTTTCGTTATAACTTCTCCATTTATGCAGCTACGAACATGAAATTTTGCAGTACTTGCACCCATTATCAACAGAATACTTACAGTGAAAATTACAAAGATCGGGTCACTATAACCTATAGCCCCCATACAACTGATTGTTCAGATATAAAATTTTCCGTTATAACTCCTCCATTTATATCGCTAGGAACATGAAATTCCGCACTGTTTTCAATAATTATCAACAGAAAACTTACAGTGAAAATTAAAAAGATCGGGTAACTATAACCTATAGCTCCCATACAACTGATTGTTCAGATATGAGATTTTTCGTTATAATTCATCCATTTATGTAGCTAGGACCATGAAATTTCGCGCTGTTTTCACTCATTATCAACAGAAGACTTACAGTGAAAATAACAAAGATCGGGTCACCATAACCTGCAGACCCCATACAACTGATTGTTCAGATATGAGGTCTTTTATCATAACTCCTCCATTTATGCAGCTAGGAACATGAAATTTCGCACCACTTTCACTCATTATTTACAGAATACTTACAGTGAATATAACAAGGATCGGATGACTACAACATATATCTTCCATACATCTGATTGTTCAGATATGGGATTTTACGTTAAAACTCCTTTATTTGAACCGCTAAAACCGATAAATTTCGTAAGATATTTTATAAATAATAATACAACGTCTACTGAGAAAATCATCAAAATCTATGCTGTATAAGCTTTATCTCCTATAGCACTGATTGTTCAGATACCAGTTTTTGCCATATATCTCCTTTATGTAGGAAACTAAACCCAATAAACTGTGTTACCGGTTTACATACCGATCACATAGCAGTGAAAATCACTTAGATTGGTGCCATATAAAGTATATCTTCCATACCTCTGATTGTTTATACGCGATTTTTTATATAAGTATGTAACTCCTCTATCCATGTATGCAGATGTATTCAAAAGCAGTAATCTGTCAAAGTAAAATTTGCAGATGTTCATGAAAGGTATGAAGCCTTCGGCATAGCCGAAGACAGCGCTGCTCTTACTTGTTCTGAGTGTATAAGTGTCCCGATTTTTCATATTTGTACCGATTAAGTCCCGATTTTTCAGTGCATACTTTATTAATTTAGTAAGAGTATCCTTGCACTCTGGCCCACTCGGCACTTTCGTTATCACCAAGGTACGTACACGATTTAGCTTTCCCCGATTCCATATATACTTATACATTTGTTGTTGCTTTTTTGCCTTTTCTATCTTTAATTGTACAGGCCAAAAAAAAAGCCCTTATTCCTGATAATGGGTTGTATGAATAAAAACTAAACAACTGCTTTTTCATACTTTTACTTTAATTTTTTTGAATAAATCGAGTAAAAGTAATAAATCGAGGAAAATTATGGAAATTGCCTTTTTTCTGCTAAAGAGATAGAGTATACTCGATTAAGAATGTCCACGATTTAGCTTTCCCTGATTCCATATATACACATTTGATGTTGCCTTTTTTAAGATATTTGCCTTTTTTTGCATTTTCTACCTTTTAAAAAAGTGATTATAGCATTTACAATATTTTTTTAAAGATTAAAAATTATACACATGCCCATGCGGCTTATAGATGCGCAGGGACCTCTTGCCAAATTGGTGTTGGAAAAATTCAAAGCCGTTTTCTCAGCTAACGTAGGCTTGGAGACAATAAAGGCGCTGGCCCAATGCAGTCTTGCTTTGCACGCCTTGCTTACTTTAACTTGCTTTGATTTACTTTAAAAACTCGTTTGGCCAAATGGCGGCTTGGAACGCTGTCAAAGCAAACAGCTGTGTAGTTAAAAAGTCAAGGTTTGTTTCCTTACACTAAGAATAATTTTGCCATAAAATTCCAGAAAATTAAAAAAAAAATACAAATCAATCTTTTCAGATCTATTTTTATATGAATGTGAATTAATTTTTGCATTTCAATGGAATGATAATAATTATACATACACACATAACTGTATGTACATTTATTAAAAACAACAAACTCAAAAAAAATCGATTTTTCAAGAGACGACTTACCAGTAGTTTGACATCATAAATATCGCTGGCTTTGTGTGAAAAGTTGATAAGTCTACATTTTATGAAGCCTTAAATTTTGATATATAAAGTACGAGATATTAAGGATTAAGGTACTTGTTTTATTTTTTCTCGTTTGTATTCAATGAAAGATAAATTTTATGAGTCCAAAAGAGGCCCCGAATATGCGATAAGGCCAAAATAGTACGAAATTTTTTAACAGAGATCGATTTCTTCTGATTTGTATGGAGTTTTGCTTGGCTTTAAACCCGCAAAATGTTGTATTCAAAGTTCCTGTAAAATTTATAAAAATGGACTATGCAACTTTCCACTTTAAGCCAGCGACATGTTAAATATAATTACGGAAACATAGATTACTTTTTGTTAAACTTTGAATTACTAATATTATACATATATTTTTCTTAAATTACGTAAGAAAATTTTTGTACATAAGTGTGCAGCAGATTGCTTGAATTGATTTAGAACGGGAACATGCCTACGAAACGCTTTCAAATAAAACAATTGCCTATTTGAAACTTTGAGGCGCTTAAAGAAAGTGAAGCAAAGCTGCCATTTGGCCACCCTTCATACGTTTTAGTATATTCCAAATAACTTTTGACAGTTCTCAAAGCGAAGCAAGCAAAGCAAGCCTGCGTTGGGCCAGCGCCTTAAGGGGTGTGGATAAAATTGTAAAGGGCGAGGAAAACGCCCTTATTCCTGATAATCATGTCTACTACGGTATCCGACGGATGCCA